GCACACCTTTCAATTTGTGTAGACTCAAATAAAACATTTGTTTAGAACACAATTAGTCATTTATAGCGTATGGAGACTATCAAGGCAGAAGGCATCGTGGAAAGGGAAACCTGTAAATGTCACAGTAATGAAGTGAACCGCCATTAGGTTTGATTGAAGAGTGCCAAATAATGCTCGTTGCGAGGGTGACGTCATCTTCCTGGAGCTACGGCGTATTTTAAAAGTAAAAGATTGCGAGGGTTGGCAGTGCTGACGGGGTGGGTCGAGACCTCCAGTATCGGGGTTACAGATACCACTCGTGGTCTGTTAGCCTGCTAAAAACCTAGGAGGCTATTTGTGGAAGACTTTTTTTATGAATGTTGATACATCCATACTGGTACAGTCTGTATTTACAGACGTAGATCCTGTGAGGAAGTACACAGCTGAAAGCACTCGGGCGAATAATGTGTTTCAAATACCATCTTTATGCCTAGTTATTATTTCTGATGGCTGTCTCTTAGGTGGAGCGCCCTGTAGTCTGGTAGAAGTTTGCCAACGTTTCAGAGGTCCATGTTGATGAGTACTCATCGCCCTGATGATGGAGGCAGCAAAGATCTCTGAAACGTTGGTAAACTTCTACCAGACTACACGGCGCTACGACCCAGAATACGGACTTACCGCGGTGAAAACCTCAAATCCTAAAAGTTATAATTGTTCCCGACCCTAAGGAACAGAGTCCTACTTGAGCAGTTGACCCATTCGGCTAGTCAACAAATTCCCCGCCTTTTAATGGTGGAACCCGGCAAGAGCAGGCCACTAAAAGCTATCCTCAACCAGTTAATTTCTTCACGTACGCTCGTATTTTAGGGTCACCTTATTACTTCTGTGTACTGAAATATTAGTAAATACGTGTGTGATATATGAACATTTATTTCTTGATTATCCTTTACAAATACCCAAAACAAATGCAAGGTCTTTTTTTTTTAAACAGTGACAAGATATATTTATTTATGTTCTCATGACAGCATCTTGGCGTACGAAATAACATTTTCCACCTCTGAAAATGTATTTTTGGAAGTTTCAAATGTTACAGAAGAACTTTGTTATTCATCCTGATCGTGTCACTTCTTGCACGATCCTCTGCAGTTCCCCTCGTTTTGCTGGGCTTGGGCTCCGAGTGTACGAACCACCAGTCACCTGCCAGATAAAGGCGATCGCGTTTGGCAGAGGCCAGCTGATAAAAAGGGCATGCGAGCTCTGGAAGGTTGCAAGTTGCTGCGTTCTGGTCTTGCCCATTGACAGACGCATGTCTATGTGTTTACAGCGTAAATTAACTTTCAACGAACGATGGACCTACGATACATAAATGTTTAAAGTAAACGACATATTTTCGTTAAATTTTGTATCTAAGTTAATATATTTCCTGAATCTAAATTTTATGTAGATAAATAAATTGCACTTAATACCTCAAATGAATAGTCTTATACGGATTACGCCTTCTATGGCTTAGTTTTTTCGCTCTTAATATTTCGTTTTATTGCTGATTTATTTTTCATGTAGATGACAAACCAGCTGAGAAAGGAAAAGACTACATGGTGTCATTAATCCGATTTATCTCTTAAGTATCCGCTTCCTTCCATATCCTTTCCAATTAATTAATTATCGCATCACAGTACGCTACAGTCCGAGGTATTGGTAGCGTCGACAAATAAGCCATAAATAAATTAGTGGAATTAATTATCGCAGCCAATACTTAATTAAATTTAAATTACCGGAAAAAGAAATGTTCCATGGAAACTGCAATTTCATTCCTTTTTACTTTATGGGGTAATCATCATTATAACGTAGGGAAATATTCTAAGCCTTTCGTGCGTTACAGAACTTCATAAGCTCCTCTTACAGCTTCTCGTTGGCACTTTAACCTTGCAACTGGATTTCTCATGGGCTTGAGACGGAGAAATGCATTTGCCATGGGCATCACATGGCTTCATACAGCGCCGACTCCCGCTGGGTTGTCCTGTTTGGCGTTTCAGAGGTCCGACTGTGGAGCCTCTCGCGATAATGTACTTTGTGACGAAACACAGACATGGATCCTCACCTTCTTGTCTCGGACCTGCCTGCTGCAGTGGCGCCAAAAACCAGAGGTCTGCTGGATCGATAACGTAGCAGTTTGCTCTTCCCACGGGATCTTCGTCGATTCCTGCGTTATTTAACTTTTTTTAAAAATTCCCTAGCTTACGTAGTATGGGGTGAAAATACGATCTGAGAATGTCGGAGTGGGAAGGACGTGAAAGGATGCTGACTCGGCCCATTTGTAGGTGCACTGCAACCTGGATATTTGTCTGGAGGGACCGTGAAAACCACGAAGAACCTCAGTCTCCAGGTTGAGATTTGAACCCAGAACTTTCCGAATAATAAGCAGGGGTGCCAATCACTCGACAACAACGTTCAGCCCCGCGTACTCTTGATTAATTCTTATGTTTCTGAGATTTGAATGTGAAGGTCTGTATCTTGGTCTTATGGGTTGAAACGTTTTATGATCTTGTAGTCGGTTGTTGACGGCAGTGTTTCCAAAACGTCGGTAAACGCCATGTACAAGACTACAAGACATAAAAACCAAGAGACCAGTCTGAGTTATTAATTTTGTTTAAAGACACTGTTTCGTCTACAGCGATTGGTTACTTACAGGTCTATGCTGTCTAGTAATAATCGTTAGTAGGTATGGACTGTGAAGGAAAAGAACAAGTTAAACGTCAGTACAGAAATGTCATGCTAATGTTAATGCTAGTGGTTTAACCATTTTTCCGCACAATTCACCTTTCTAACAACTCCGCTTAAAAATGTGTCTAATTCGATACATTTCTAGATTCTTTTGAAGTTTATAATTTCGGATGCTTTAATTTTACTAACATTTTAGTCCTCTTTAATCCAAAATTCACTTCCGCATAAAAGTGTAGGAACTGACATAGCGTTACAAAACTCCAGCAGCCTCACTTTAAATACTCCCCATTTAACGTTCTGTTTATCGTCCTACGTGCGCCTATCAAGGGGAAAGATGATTTCTAGTATTGACGTCATACGAAGTGCCACTACCCAAGTAGCCCAAACACGAAACTTATTTGGAAATTGAATTTGAAAGAAATGAGTTTAGGCCTATGATGTTTCGAGATTTCTTATGTAAATGATGAGCCTGTGTTGTTTTCACTGTTCACCAGAGTTATGCAGGATAAAATGTGGCATCACCTGATTTCTGAATGACAGTTTGCTCAGAGGCTTGGGTTGACTTTTTGTTTCCAGTTTTTATAATTTCGTTTTTATAACAATATTTAATACGACAGGTCTCACAGCCCGAATTTAACACAGGCTTATAAAATCCTTGAGAATTTATCGTGTCCAACTTTATTTCTATTTTTTATCATTACACAAAAGTGCTTTGTGGCCTAACGCATTTACAAATTAATATTCTGTTCCTCTAAACCACCCGAAAGATCTGTTCTTATCACTTTATGAAAGGCTTCGTCACAACGAATACAAACTCACTGCTTCTCTGGGTTAAACTATCTTATTTCTTGTTACGGGTGTAAGATGTGCGTGAAGTTAGATCATAAATGGACGATGTCATCTGTCTGTTCGCATGTTTCAACTCGAGAATCGTTTGGCAAATTTTCACAAACTCAGTATCAAAACAGTGCTACCGAAAACTACACCAACCTCGTACTTTTAATAACATGCATTCGGTATCAGGAAAACAGCGTAAGCTCAATTTAAGATATTTTTCGTACATTGTAAAACAACCATGGGAATATTTTCATTGGCTTCAAGTTTCACAATAAAATTATAAAGAACCAGTGGCGCTAAATATATGAAATAGGGTATGCAGATCGGTGACAGACGCATGTACAATTTATACAAGAAATTGTAAGTTACGAGTGACAAAGACAGCAACAGTGCAAATGTGTGAGTTATATTCGACGATTTCAACATTTGGACAGAATCTATCAACGCTTCTCATAACAACTTCTTTCAAATATAATCAACCAAGAGTAATACACTATAAGAAAAATATTAATATAGTTCCTGCAACTTATTTAAAAGTGCAAGTAATGGAAGAAAGTGGCCTCACTGGGATTCGCTCATGTTACCTTCCTGAGATGCACTACATTACACGCGGAAGTACACAACAGTATGAAGATTTCTGTCTTCTGGGTTGTTGCGCTGTGCAGTCTGGTCGATGTTAACCAACGTTTCAGAGGTCATAGTGCCTCCATCATCAGGACGATTCTTTCTAAGTTATCTACGCTATGAAGATTTCCGTCTTCTGGGTTGTTGCGCTGTGTAGTCTGATCGATGTTAACCAACGTTTCAGAGGTCATACTGCCTCCGTCATCAGGGCGATTAAGTACACAAGAGTATGAAGATATCTGTAGTACTTTACTACACGGCGCAACAACCCAGAAGACAGAAATCTTTATACTCACCGCTGTGAAAACCTCATATCATACATACACAATAGTAAATATTGCAGTCGAATAACTGATCATTGGAATTTTTTCTGTTAGTTTAAAAAATGTAGTGGTTTCAATAAATTTATATTTCATGTTCTGTTCCAATATTCTTTACGTTCAACCGCGTTTGATTTTAGCGTTAAGTAAAGTAGAATTACTTAGAACCGATAACAAACCAAAATTAAATTTCCCGCATAACTTCACACAGACATTATATTCTATCGAAATCCATCCCGTATTTTCGGAGCCCTAAATCTGCAGACACATCATCCCATTTCGCCTTCAAATTGTGTACGTCGTACAAATATCATACAGAAATAACTGAATAATAAATATCAGAGCCAGGGTTTAGCAGTCCAGAGAGAGACAAGCTGTGTCTCAATATGTTCATCATCAACCCAGTCATAACCAATGAGAGTGTAGTTCTTTATTGGCTGAAATGATGTTTACTGGAAGGATTTCTATGATGAAAATGTTTATTTTGCTCCCATTGGCCGGCATCTGTGGTTGTGGGCGTGGAAAATGAGGGCTTGTTTTGAAACCAGTGGGGATGGCTTGCATTTAGGGGCCGAGAGTAGATTGGCGCGCGTGTATGTTTGTCACAATTAGTAGTGAGCGGGCCGACCTGTCAGAGTTAACAAGTAGCAGACTGTAATTAACTCAGGAAGAACTATGTGCGCCGATCCAGTTTCTAATTTGAATACACGAAACGAATATAAGTGACAACTGATCATCAGATAATGATGGTCGTTTCAGTGTAATTTCGTATTTACCTACGTGATTTCAGCGTCGACTGTAAAACGTAAAGTGAATTCTGCGCGTCGAAACTGAGAGCTGACACAAACACACCGATCGACTTTTCCGATGAACTCAGTTTTTGGTATCGAGTACCACATTGGAAAGCCCCGTTTATCATGATCTCAAGTCAGTTCCCGCATTTTAATGGCAACAATAATTTTAACCCTTCGGGAAATTCCCTTATGGGAACTCCTTTCTCAGTAAAGGATATATTAAATTTAGCGGAACAAGGAGGACAATTTATTCCCATGACTGACACACAACAAACGTCATTTTATTTTGAGGACTGCGGTAACGGTCCATCTAATATGACATCTTTTTCATTTAACAATATCGATACCAACAGTACAGGGATTCCTGACCCATTTACAGTGACATCTGGTGATTTCTACAATTACCATAACAACAATAAGCTAGCGGACTCGTATAACAATGGCTGTCCGGAGGTTGTGGTCGGCAGTTATCATGGACACCAACAGATGACACCATCTCCTGTTGCTTCTCTGTCGCAGTACTCAACATCCCCCCCAACGGCGATCAACAATGCCACTACAGGAGGAGGCGGGGGGATTCCTATGACGTCACAACACGTTCAACAATTGAGTCACCTGTGCCCGCCGTTTCCGGATGTTGTTGAAAGTAACATCGAAGCATCGCTCAGTGAGACACATGATAATGGCTCCAGTGGAAATTCAGCTAAAGGTAGGCTAAATAGAAATGACAGAATAAATAACTAGCATTCATATTTGTGATTACTTCATTTGTTGTGTCTCGTTTGTCGAAACTTTACTCTGTGAAACGTCATATCTTACTTTGAAAAATGAATAAATTCTCCAGTTACCCTCAGAGACGTCCTGCATGTCTGATACCAACATCCCTCGTACATTAAAAATCTTCGATGTGCTGTACATGGGTGCGTTCCATTTAACATCGTGTTCCTGGAAACTCTTCCTTCTGTGTGGTTTATTTTTTAAGACGATGGTCGTAGGAGTTACGTTCAGTAACAGGACTTAATTATTCTATTTCTGTTAATATAGACTATATTCAGTTCGTTAATATCAAGACCTTGTAACATTTTAAAAGAGTTTCCTGGTTAGTTTCTTACTTATCCGCTGACAGAGCCACAGAAAAACTAAAATTTGTACATTGCATTAACCAAATACTTTTCATAGATCTACAACTCGTCTTAGTCTAAGTGCTGTTTCTGTCATTTTTAAAGATTCACCTAAAACAGTGGCGTTAAAAGGGCTCACCGAAAAATTATTTGAGCCTTCTTTAAATTTTATAAGAGTTATTTAATTCATACGACCACAGTAACTAAACTAAAAGGGCTCACCAGAAAATTATTTTGGCCGTCTCCTTTAAATTTTGTAAGAGTTGTTTAATTCATACGACCACAGTAACTAAATTCAAGGCACAGTGGAAAATATAGGCAAAAGTAGCTTTGTGATAAATCTACTCTGTCATATTGTTTAGTTCATGCAGGCAGCTGACAAATTTTCTTACTAAAGCTCGTGTAGGTCAGTATCAACACGGTTTGCTACCACCAGAAACGTTTAATCAATGCTTGTCCGCTGGCCGTAGGTTACACGCCATATTTTAAGGCTATTAGTTGTATTAAATAATTATTTAAACATCTGTAATAAATGTTCCTAATGAGTAGCCTAAAGTAAAAATATAATAAAAATAAAAATACAGATACGTTATTTGAACAGAAACCTACGCATTTGTACGGGAACAATACAGAATTTGAAGGTGAAAGAATGTTTTCTAAATGTAAGATCTACTAATATTCATATTTAAAAATAACAATGAAAAAGCATATTTCAATTTTATTAACAACAAATATTAAAATATATTTTTTCAAAATGCTATTTGTCTATATCACTGCTTTCAGTGTTCATTTATCACATATTTAAGTCGCAGTCTGCTGCTTCAAAGCTAATAGTATTACGGATTAACGCCAGTGTGTTTATGAACTGGGATGCTGACAAACCAAATTAACACTGCAGATATGTTTTTTGCACTGCACAGATGCCATTTATTTTTCTTGTATGTCGGCAAGCCTATGTGGACAGCATATCGAAAAACGTCTAAAACAAATGTGCAGATTTTTATACGAATCACACACTCCCTCCCCTCCGATCCCTGAGGACCTCAGAGTTTGGAAGTGTTGCAAGATGTCAACAGGCCTGTACCACAAGTAATATCAGCACAGCGAGCTGTGATTGAGATTGATTGATTAACAATTAAGTTACAAAAAACTGCAGGACCATATGATAGTCGTTGGAAAACGTATTAAATACGTTCAATGACGATTCGCCCTGATTATAGAGACAGTAAGTACCTTATAAAACGTCGGCGAAGTCCTATCAAACTACACAGCGCAACATCTTTCAACAGTTTGGAGCAGGCCTCTACTCGCAGCAGAGTTCAGCTTTCCACTCTTGTTCCAAGTAAGAACTTTATCTGTGAAACAAAAGGCCACGCTGTTTGTGCTGACAGGAACACACAGTTCTCATTGGCCTAGTGATGCATGTTCAGCGTTTGATTTTAGTGCGTAATAAACGCCTGACCTGTTTACTCTGGAGTATGTCAACTGGATGATACAAATGTCGCCCATTTCTAATCCAATAAACATTCAAAAGAATAAAAACATTTCGTGAATTGTAATCCGCAGATTCCTATAAAATTTGTAAGAAATTTAAATACGACATTTGGTAAGACACATGTTTCATGAGCCATGCGTGTTACATGCCCACTCATCTCAACCGCCTTGTTTTTTATCACTCTAATACAGATCGCCATTATGCGCTGCGTTTTTAGGTTCCGAAGATTATATCTTATGGACTTCGTCGCCCTAAATGAGTTTAAATTTTAAATTTTAATTTATAAGTGTTGAACGGTTACCGTCATGGACCTTAAAGCGCCAATATTTCGCTGACTTACTATGTTATATCCTATCGTGCTAAAATTCATAGAAATACACGATTAAAAATTGTCCAACGTTCATCAGAATAACATCTAATTTTTTTCAAAACGTAGGTCTATATGTAGGTTGTTCAACGGCGTTATCAGTAGCCCAAACAAAGTAGCGTCGAATAAGGGGGTGATTCGAGAAGAATTAATTGGAAAAGGCGTGGAAGGAAGCGGTTGTCACCTAATTTAAGTATTATCATGGCACTTGGATGGAGGGACTGAGAAAAAATAAAATCTCGATCAGGATAGAAAATCTTCGGTCCTACATTTAAAGCAGGGATCTCCCGAATATAACACGGAAAAAAATTAGGCCCGCGTTAAAAGGACACCAGTGCAATTCCCGATTAAGAATTTCGGATGCCGTTGTATCCGATAGCACAATAACACATGCTTATTACCGTAAAACTGTGCGTGAATTTTGGCCCATAATAATTCACAAGAACTGTCACCATGGAGCACGGTTCTTCCTGAGAATCTACCGGTCGCTCAACTAGAAAAGAATTTTGCCTCCCTTTTATGGAACCACAAAGCTCAGTACCGTGTTCACAAGAGCCCTCATGTCCGAGGTGCTGTGTAACATGCTGTTTTTATTTCGGTGAGGTTTTCTTGGGCACTCCTCTCCTCTCCCCTTCCCTGCCCTACCATCGCCCGTTGTCCGCCACATTTCTGCTGAATACGGTCGCTGGATGCAGTCCATCACCTTCATTGATGACGTGGGAAGTAGCCATGCCGTGGTGACAAGCGACCACTCAGCATGCATAATTAATTACACCACTCTGAAAATGCCGACGATAATCGGCGTAATAAGAAATATTTATGACTGCAAAGGACCAGTTAGTCGGTAACCACAGTTATTGAGGGAGTGAGCGAAGATAGCCTTCAGGTAACAAGTCTATTTAACGTCTTCTTTTACTCAAAAAAGCTTGTAATTAATATTAAGGTGGCATAACTGATTTTTAAACAGAGCATTATATACTGGAGACCAAGTTTCATTGTCACAAACTGAATATGATTTACAAAGCTATTCAGTAATAATCTATATGGCACAATACACAGCAAATAAGAATTTAACTTGAAATAAAATATTCCAGAACATAATAAACAAAATAACTTACAGCAGTGTGGACAACTAGCGGCCTGTGGGTCACATCTGGCCCGAGACCACTTGTAACCTGGCCCACGAAATTATTTATTTGTTACCAGTTACTACAAGTTAATTAATTTTCTTTACCCTAAACTAAATAAAAAATAATCTTGATTCTTATCTCGTACGCTGCTTTACGTTAAGTGCCACATACGTTATTAAAATTCTATATATAAAATATAAGTTTTCGAAGTACAAATTGTGTCAGATACGTGCTGTTGAAAAAGTAAATTTTAAAAAAATATGTAACTCTATAGTAATTTTTACACATTTTAATAAAATATATATCAGAGCGCATGCTGTGGAAATTTGTCATTTCTGAGTAAGTTCCGTTAAAGATAACAAAGTCTGGCTATTAGTTATTAGTTTTCAAAAATAATGTCAGGAGAGGTGTCTTGGCATTTTGGTCTAACGAGGATATTCATGGCCCGAGGGAAGAAAGCAGTTGGACAACCCCGCATTAGAGCACAAAAGAACCGGTCCTAGGGATGTAGGACAACCTAGAAAAAAATAGAAACGATTTCTTCCTAGTCGGAACGACCTTTCCATTTGATGATAAACAAACTAAATATGCTTTCCTTTACGTTCACTTAGGACAGGATATAAAAACACGCTTAAAATTATGAACTGTCCTGTTGCGTGTAACCCATTACAGCCCAATGGAAACTTTAAGTACCACCAGCTTTAACAAAGAATAACTGTATATTTTGTTTGTTTGTGTTTGTTTCGTATGAACCTCACTGGAGACAGGAAGTATTTCCTTAATCACAATTCAGAAGCTGCTCTTTGTAATGGAGAAATGTCATGTATTCTTTAAGGTACTTAATGTTTAAGTAGACTATTGCGTGACAAGCTTCGGCTTCAAAGGATTAAAGACAATTACCTGTAAATAAAAATTTTATAGCCACGTTTTGCAAACACATCTACAGCAGTAAGCACTGATTTTACGATGTTTTATGGCGATTACTTTGGCTACAGGAAAGTCACAGTCTATTGCATTATCCGCAAAATGCTTTGGCTTAGAAAAGTGAAAAATGTCTGCACAGAAACTAAGAACGTAAGGACACGACCATGATTTTAGTATTTCCTTCTTGTTCTAGCCACGCTCCCGTTTTATACGGATCTATGGACGGAAAATCTCAAACCTCTTCTATCTTTCCACAACCACTTACACTCTACGCTATCTGCCTGATGCCTTCAAGTACCTGGCCGAACCATCGTGTTCTTGGTCGTCCGATTGATCTCTTAGTTTAAATTATAATTCTAATGCCTTTTCGTTGTCCATGCTCCATCCATTCTCCACAAACCTTCAAATCTTTGCTGTCGTTTCTCTTCTGATTCAATGAAAATGTCAGAATTCAACTCATTTTCTAACGGTTAAATCATAGATAAATCTTAAAAGTTAAATCTTAGATAAAACGTCGCGCAAGACAAGATTAATTATTCAGTTGCCAAGAAGGCTTCTGAGGATGAGGTTTTTGTGATTTGGGGTTGGTTGTGTAAGCAAAATCCTAATAGGAAGAGGTATTTATATATTTACGATGCTGCATGTTGCCCTATAGGAAGGACACGGCATCAGTCAAACAACATTTCGACTTACACCTAATCTCCACGTCTAGACCACACGGTATGTTTCTGCTCCTATAATATTTTGCATGGGAGTTTTTGAAACTGGCTTACTTCTGTTTACAAACATTAACTAAATGGTGATGTGTTGTTCTCTAAAGTTAACAAGTGCCCCATCTGAACATATTTTGAACTGTTCAGGTTCTAGGTAAATGGAGAATTTCATTTCAGGCCCTATGCATCCTACGAGAATATTCTAAAACCATGACATGTTTTACTCCTTCTGGAATAGGTTTGCCAAAGACATGGTCGAAACTCGTAAAGGAAAGGAATAAACTAAGATGTGATAATATCAAACGTAGGTCCTAATAAATTGTATCTGACGGTGACACACGTATATTACTTGCTAATTTTCGATACTGCAATGGTAACAGCAGACTAATTGAGTGTTCCCATGATTTTGCTAAAATTCAAGTTCCTTTGAAAGATGATTGCTGCTAGTGACACCAGTTTTACATAAATAGTTTATAATGACTATAAATTTAATATGTAACCAGAAATATGCGATTCCAGTTAATTCATGTATTGCATATAATTACATACAACGTATTTACAGAGTATCTGAATAATACGTATATTTCCGGGAATACATTAATATTAATGTAACACTCAGTTTAAAAGAATAATAGAGCTACAGTATGAATTCGTATTTCATTGCTAACTGCATAGGTCCAGAAAAGTCAAACACTAACTCAACACGGCATTGTTACAAGAAATTACCAAAGAAATTATTTATCCGACTTACAGGTGATGTCCATTTTCGTAATTCATAAGACGTAGGCCTATCTCCACTTGAAGCCTGACACATCGCTACAGCCCGCTGCATGGGTCAACATCTTACCAAATCCTAACCTTTTATAACTCCACTTCAAGCTACCTTTAGCTGGTACTTAGATTAGGTTTCAGAGTTCACTGATCGAAATAAATCACAAGAAATATAACACGGCGCTTTATAATAATTTCCTGTTCAAGTTATAATATAATCATTTACTCAATCAGAATAAACCAAACGTCTGTCACTTTCACATTTTCCGATACGACTCATCTTCTATACAGCGCCACGTGTTCGTGAAAGATCGGAATGTTTCGTCAATTTCCGGAAATTAAATGTTAAGCGCAGCATTTAAAATTTTCGTATAATTACTCAGTGGCGTGTGTAAAATGATTTAAATTCAATTTGCAACAAAATTTAGAGCAAATCACTTACACCTTGAGTGGAAATCGGAAATAACAATTCATGAAATTACATATTAATACGAGGTGCGATCGGAAAGTTTCAAGACTGTGTCAATAGAGGGCGAACCGGATGTAGTACAAGCTTCTGCCGCTAGGGGGTGCGGC